GTAAAACAGTTCCAAAGAACTGCAATATCACACCACCTGAACCTTGGAGTTAAACAACACATCCTTATCTTCAGAGTAAGTAATATTTGCAGCAGATGGTATTGTCAGCAAGCAATAAATCAAAAAATCTTTGTTCTATATAACTTGGAAAAATAAGATTCCTTTCTTATGTGCTCAGGTGCCATTTGGCGTAGAGAATGGTTTTAAATAAAGTACAGAATATGCATTGGTGCACTTAAGTTGCTCCATTTTGGACCTGATTTGGTTACAGCAATAATTTAAACCTATGCAAAGAGATTGACTCCACACTTAATTGCTAGAATCTGAGGTCTGTTACCAGCCCAGGTCAACATCCATCTCTTCACAGGCAACAAAGCCAGAAAAATCTCATAAATCTTGGGGCAAAAGGAGAAAATAAAATTTCCCAACTGGTTGACTCTGATGACATCACCCAGACCTATGTTTGTGTCTCTACCAGACACCAAATAATTTAGCCGTTTCAGTGGGGGCATGGGCTTAGACCGAGACTGTCTCTCGGCCTTTGCATGAGGCTGATGAGCTGTGCAGATGTGTCAGAAAGGTGGCACGGAGGCACTGAGGTTCTGTAGCAACCCAGCAGGAGATGCTCCTTACAGAGAGATTGAGCATCACTGCTGATGCTTTTGGGCAAATATTGTGCAAAATGGAAGAAGAGCTGTGCAAGAATAAGCTCTGTCTACTGTGCCTGCATTTTGCAAACAGATTAGTACCTAATAAAGGAAAGACCTAGTTCTGACATGAAATTTACCTTAGAGATTTGTCTCGGTCCTGATGTGCATGTAACTGCTTCTTCATAAGAAGCAAATACAGGCGAAGGAAGTTCTGTTTCCAGTCGGATTTATGCTTCAGCACTAGAACTGTATACGTAGCTTAACCTCATTACAAGACTGCTGATTCTCCATATTAAGCTCTGTAGGCATTATTCAGTGTTAGAGAATAAGAAGTAAGTGCTTGAGCAATTGCTTGATGTTTTTTTCTATGCAAGTGAGTTTTCTCATGTAATTATAGGGAGAACTAATGATATGAGAAGCCACTGTTCTTCCATAACTCCCTCTCTAATAGATCTCACTTGCATATCTCAGTTATTACAGTTTCTCTTGCAAACAAACTTGCTGATTCGCTGTGTTGATCAGCCATTTCAGCACCCTCTGTGAATAAACTAATTCACTGTATTCTAGCTAATCTTTTTCCAAGGATGCAGGATGGAATCAACATCATGACTTTGCATCCTTCTTTTTTAGTAGGGAAGAAAAAGATGGGGGACAACCAAGGAATTGCTATTCCAGTCAAAGTTGTCCTTAAGACATTTCTATGCCTGTTCTCATATCTGAAAGAATTCAAATACCGTGTAAGATTGGATATTTCTCAGGTTCCGCCTGAGGAAAAATTGTCTGAGAGTGATATGGGAACTGAATTTTGAGAATTTAAAAAAAAATCATATACAAGTTTTTAAAAAATAATATATATATGTTGTGATTGCTTAGTGGCACTGTGGGTACAGTCTTTGGTATTTGTGAAGCAAGTGGATACTTCAGTTATGGTATTTGTCTTTCATTAATCTGATCGCATAAAATAGCACTGTTTTGCCTGGCACACGATGCAGTGTTTGTTATCCCACTACAGCATGGATACAGTAACCTGCTTATGTTTAACAAACGGGAAAAATTAAATGCAGCTGCTAATGATGAGGTTTTAGTATTTGTACTACCACTACACAGCGCAAATACCTTATTGTTGCTGCGCTATCGGCTTTGGTGGTTGATAGACCAAGGAAAAACAATTTTGCTCTTTTCAGACCTTTTTGAGGCTCTCATCACCCTAATACTGAAATTGCTCCTTCGTGCCTTCTTTATTGATGTGGACAAAGCCTCTGAGATGGCTGGCTGATTTTTGCAGTGCGAAGCGGGGAGACTCGTTGTGTTCTTATGGGACGTTGTTTCTGTAGCTGTAGAGAAAACCTGGCTTTTTGTGTGAATGGTCCCTGTGAACCACTGTGCAGTTAGCCAGGATCTTTATGCTGATGCTTCTTGTCCAGATATGGCCTCCCTATGTTGTAGCCTAGAGATGGATTGAGGCCTGTAGAAGCCCTCTATGCAAATAGAAATACTACAGAAAATGTAGTGGAACTTCTCTAGTAAAGTAAGTCTGCATCTCAAGTGATGTACTAACATTCTTTTCTGTCAGTTTTAAGGAAGTGACCATTTTTTGCAAACTGATGTTTTGTCCAACCTCCTTTTGAATTGATAACGTTAATCTTGACACAATAGTTATGACTGTAGCAATGACCCTAGGATCAGGCAGTTCCAGCTTACCTCAGAGTCCTCTATTGGAAATGTTAAACTTCAGAAAACCTAGAGCCATAACAAGAGATAAAAATTTATTTAGCAGAGAAAAACTGTTGAAAGGTAGAAGTAACCAACTGGTACTGTTAGACCTGCTTCCTTTAATTCTTGATTGAACTAGGGAGGGGAAAAATATTTTTTTAAGCTATCACCCATAGGTTCTTTGTGTTCTTTAGTCATTTACATGGCTTATGGTTTGATTTGGGTTCACTGTGATGATTGAGCCCCGACCCTTCCCTGCTTAGGGCTGCCTGCACTTGTGCTGTATAATAAGAGAGACTGGAGACTGAGTCAGGGTTTGAGGGTAATTAAAAGACTGCACAGCAACCTGAGAAACACCACTTACCCACACGGAGGGCCTGCAAGGCCCATGGCCTCCTGGAGAAGCCCAGTGCCTGCATGGTGACACGCAAAGGAGTGGGACGAGGGGGAGCAGGGACCTGCTGCCGCTGGCGGTGCCGCTGTGCAGGCTGCATCGCTGAACAAAGCTCGCCGTCTTGCTGCGTCTCTCCCTTCTTCCCACCCACTTTGTATTCATTAATAGCACCGAAATACCACGCTGTAGAAAACAGTTCCTGCAGAAGAAACATCTGGCTCCTTAAAGGCTTGTGCAATGGGTTTAAGATATTCAAAATATCCTTCATTATACCTGATTCTAATTATTTTCAACAAACTTCTGAAACAGGCCAGTGATAAACTGTAAATGGAATCCAGGTTTATATTTTTATATGAGGCTTCTGGCTTCTTTAATATCCCTTGATATTAAACTATAATTTTTAGGTAGGTGCTGGTGATTGTGGATGCAGTCTGGGTCCTATGTTCAGTGTTGCTTCCCTTGTGTGTTCCACATAGGTGTGGGAAGTCACCTGTAGACAAGTCCCAGGTCTGCAGCCCATGCAGGCTGAAGCCAGGAGGTAATCGTTCCGTCCATGCCTTCTTCCCAAATTCTGACTTTTATCTGCAAAGTGCTCCTTGGCTCTCTTCAAAGCCAGCCATCCAACACCGATGTGCCTTGTTTCCCCTCTGCAGACTAGCAGTTGGTCTGCTGATAGCACTGCATCCTCTCTCTCTGAGCAGTTTTTATTATCTTGAAGAGCTATGGCATCATAGGGGCATTATTCCTTGAGGGCTATCTCCAGCTTGGAGAATTAATAAAGATTTTTTTGCATGGAGCTAGTCTGGCCTGTAGCAAAAAATTCCTCAGCCATGCAGAGCAGGATTTCATGGTCACAAGCTAAACCAGAAATACTTTAGTTTAATTCCTGATGAGTGTTCAGACAACTTGATGTGATGGCACTTGAGGAACAACTTGTACTTAGGCAAGACTTTTCTATGTCAAAAACCCTTGTTGCTGTTGCTTGAATGAAAAACGCATGTAAAAAGAGGCCATATGAGAGATTCTTGCTAGAGAATAACAGATACCCTAGCATTATTTTAGTAAAAATCAAGTTAGATGAGCCTTATAAAACAGATACTTTTAAACAGCAATTATTGTAATATATAAAGTGGCCAAAGGTTTCTCACTCCTTCCCCTGCCCCAACCCTAGACTTTTTCTGTTGTTGTTGTTCAAGTTTCTCCTTTTTGAATTCTTTGGAATAAGCTTGTGTGATTTTTGTATCATTTTGGGGTTATTCTGAAGAAGAAAGTAACAATAAATTACCTACTTACTGTAAATTTTTCTTCTCCCCCATTAGTGTAATATATAACATTTTTGTGGTAGTCTTTAAATGCAGATTATGTTCTCTGCTGTAAAAACTGAAGCAGGCAAATACTTTGCTAGTTTCTGTATCTTTCCTGTATGCCCAATATACTGATACTCTTATAGAAGACCATTTTTGAGAGCCTTTTGCTAATCTAAGAGATATGTTTACCTTTGTCTGATGTTCTCCAGGTATGACTCTAAGTACTTCAACTTGTATTCATGCTAACCCAACATTAATCTCAGTGAATTAGGGCTTTTTTTTTTTTTTTTTTAAACAGTTAGTCCTGTATATGGTCCCATAAATCAATGCTGCAAACATTGGTTCCTCCATTGGAGTAGATTTCTTATTAAGAAAATGCATAAATATTGGTTTTTAATGTATTTGACATTATAAATGTCAAATTTAGCAGATGTTTTAAATCTTACTCCTTTAGACATACCTAATTCTTTAAAGTGAGCTTTCCTTGTTTTTTATTTAGTTTTAGTTTTGTGTATGTGTGTTAAAACAAAAAATGTCATTTTGCATTCTTTTGGCTAACCTTTGCTGCTTTTACTTCTTTCTTCCCTTAATTTGTTTCTTAATCCAAGCTAGAAAACAGTCAATTGAGATTGGACTTGAAAAGTTTGGCTAGTGAGAATGCAGATGGGGCTTTAGAACTTGTGAATGATTTAATACATCATCTACAGAAGTTTTCCTTTCTCACTTGTGTGCTACATGCAAGAGTATCTCAATTGCAAAATCCAAACTTCCATCAAAACTACTTGAGACCATGTGAATTTTTTTAAGTACTAAAAATTGACCTATAGTGACGTATAGCAGAAAATTTGACTTAGAATTGCAAAAGAAAAGCAACACTTGATTTATCCCTCTTTTCCTAAACGAAATATTATTAAAAGATCTCTTTCTTTTGTGCAGAAACACGAACAGATAGAACAAAGAAACTCTTTAGACACTACACGGTCGGATCCTATGACAGCTTTGATGCTTCAAGGTAAGAATCTTTCCATTTGATCACACTCTGTTTGCCAAGCCCTTTTTGGATTTTATTTATTTGTTGCATTTGGTTTAGTCTTTGGAGGGGAAGAGAGAAGGATTGTTAAGGTGAGCATCTCAAGATGTCAATCTGTATCTAAATTGTTATTGCGATTTCCTATTTATTGCAGACTATTCTCTTAATATTCTTTAGTGATGATAATGACTATTGTGGTGTCAGGAGTGGGAGAGCGATGGACATTCCCCTGGAGCTGTATCTGCTCATCCCTTCAGATTGGGAGGCATCTGCCTTGTGGGGTGCTTCATAAGATCAGGCCCTTTATACCTCTTCAAAGAATCATACTTGCTGACAAGAAGAACAAAGTTTTATGACCAATTGTGCTAACCGGTATTTTACAGCCTAAATAAGAATTAGGCTATGCTTAAATCGTTTATTTGCAGTTTCTGCTGAGTATTCTTGGTTTTTAAGCAGGTTCTTCTCCCACACACACATACTTTGGATGTATAGCCAGCTTCTGGTAGGAAGGATGATTCTTTTTTAAAGCAGAAGATCTCAGTTAACTGTTGCTGTCCTCTTGAGAAAATTGTGGTGGCATACTGGAGTCCCTTACGCTTTTCGTATAAAATAATGTTAGCGTTTGTATAAAATAATGTTAGTAGATATAAGCAATGTTTTTAATCATTGAGTTTCCAAATCTAGCTAGTTGCTGGAATGGAAGAAAATTGTTTATTTGAGATGCATGCAGTAACTTATTGTAATGATGACTTTACAGATGAAGTGTAGCGTGAAGATAAAGCGCTTTTTTTGCCTTTTTTTTTTCCCCATCCTTTGCAATGCAATAGCAAAACACTGTTCACATATGATTTTTTTCTGAACAGAAGGGAGTGGAAGGCCTTGCTTTCTTAATATTCCAGTAGCACACAACGTTGAGCTTTAGATACTGACTGAGGCTGCAGAGCAGCTTTTTGAATATATAAATGCTAATTTTATTGGTGCTTGTGTATTGCCTTTAAGAAAGGGAACCTTCATGTGATTGGAAATGAATGAGTTTTGGTTGCGTGCGCAGTAGATTCAGTTCCTAACATGATCCGCTTTAGGGAGGCGGATTCTTAAGAGGCAAAAGACGTCAACTTGGCTGTGATTATTGATGAGGTATTTTCAGACTTACGCCCTGCTTGGATTATTTTTTCTGTTAGGTGTCCTATCAAATCAAGGAGAGGATGTAGTAAACGGATTGCACCTGAGTTATAATAAACATTTTTTACAAGCAGTCCTGCCTGTATACCACGAAGAGCTTTGAAGCCAAAGCACTAACAAATGTGGTTCAGGTCCTTTTAGGGTGATGGGTGCTCACATCCCTGAAGGGAGGGTCTGCTCCCCTCGCTCCTCCTCTCCCCCTCCTGAAGAGCAAACATTGCGGAGCAGAAATAAGCTCTTTAGAAATTCATATTATTAGGTTTATTCACATGCAGGAAAATACATTGTGCGTGGCATTTTTCATCTTTAGGAAAATGTATAGCTTGAATAAAGGAGGTTCATTAAACACTATTTCAGCCTTGCATAAGGAGTGGTTTTATCTATACCTTAATGCTTCAGGAAAATGAATAATGAATATTCTTAGTAACATGAAGAAAAGCAGTGATACTTGCTTGCCAGTACAAACAGTTGTTAAATATAATGCGTATATAATATTTGAAGCTACCAGGTCAAATGTATTATCCAATTTAAATGCTGAAGTGATGCATGCTTCTCTGCAAAAATATCCCCCCTTTTTTTTCCCCGCCTCCTGTTATATGCTGCTATGACTAGAATTCCTCTGCAGGCATTCCTTTACTATATTAGTGATTATTTTTATTTATTTTTTTTTAATCTGACAGGTAAGTGATGGAGGAGAAGATAGGGTTTATTGCAATGGCATACATGGTGAGAGGGCCAAGTTTTCTTCTGCATCTCACAGCCAGATAAGCTGGCAGCAAGTAGGCACCGAATAAAAAACAGCAATGCCAACAAAGATGCAGGAGGGGAATATGAGAGTGATCTGTCATGTCTCTAGAGTTTTGTATCTTCTTTGCGTTTGTGGTCAGCAGTTGTTCGGGCAGCCATGAGACATGGGGTTTTTAGTGTTTTCTGGCAAGGGAAAAAAGAGAAAACTGTTGAGTCTAGTTTGGAAAATGTTTGGGGCTGCCTTGACTGGATGGCTGTGAACGCGCACAAGTCGAGCAAACACTTCCAAAGCACTTTACGTATTCTTCAGAGGACTAGTTAAAATTCAAAAATATATATTTATAGTCTTTAATTTTTTTTAATGAAGTTATGTTTTGTCATGGATGGATCTGTTTTAATAGCGGAAAATACTGCTGGGCTGTAGACTGAATGTTGGAATACTTTTACAAGTTATTATTTCTACCTGCGTTTGTAACTGAAGGAATTGATTATTTCTGGCAAGACAAGATAGTGAATGGTTCGACCAGGAAAACCAATTTGGGGGAAAAAAAAAACCATGAAATTAAATTGCCTGAAATAGTCTTTTATTTTTTGATTGTTTTGCTTGATTTAATTTCAAGTGTATGATGCTAGCACTTTTAAAAAGTTGGTGTGACTGATGATAGTGTTAACTGTTATTTTCAAAATTCTGGAAGCATAACAAATAAAGAGTAATTTTGTTACTATGTATAAATTTTAAACTAGATTTGGTGGTTTAAAAAATAAAAAAGTGATACAAATACCTTCTGAATTTGGAAACTCTAAAGCACAAATGTGGAAACTTTTAATTCTGTATTAATTTTTTATCATCTTTCCCCTCGTTTCTTGATAGTGAAATGGCAAAAGGTACCATGTACCAGCAAGACTTTTCTTGGATATGGCTTCCCTACCTCCATCATAGCAGAGCCAACTTCCACATCTTTTTTCTAACTGCTTTATCTTTTAGTCCTCACTGCACGAGACATTTTCTTGCTCCCATTTCAGGACATCCTTTGGCTGTGGCAGTTTTAGGAAGCACACAAGTAACCCTGTTTAAAGGCATGTTGCTGCAACATTAATGATGGAACCAACTGATTTGCCTTCTGGTTTTACTAGTCCTTATTTCCTCCATGAAGAAGGAAAACTGTTTTGTGCCATTGGGAAAGTTATGTGTAAGAAAATTTAATTCGCCTACCCTGATGTCCTTACATGGAGTTGGTGGCAGAAGCCATAGCTTAGGAGCTGCTGGACAAAGATGAGGGAATTCCTGCTTGTGTACAAACCCCTATGGAAAATGGGAGCTGCTTCCCAGGTCTCCATCGCAGTTGCCCTGGTTCTTCTGCCCACACAGTGCAGTAGAGATGGGAGAGGTTCGCTCCTCTGTAGCCCTGTAACTTGGCATGTTGTGTAGTGCTGCATTATTTTTATTTCTTTTACCCTATAGAGTCTGTGTGCTGAATAGCTTGGCCTTTTTCCCCAGGGGTGTGATGTCACTGGTGCTGTGCTGATACTTGAAACATTAGATGTGCAACACACTTGCACGAGTTTTTTGAGCACACCGTCAATTTGATAAAGAAATATCGTGTCTAATTTGATGCCTGGTTTCATGTGGAAATTTTACATAAATATTATCTTCATTTTCATAGCAGGAACTTGAAATAATTACTTTGGAAAAAAGTAATTATCACATATATACATATATATATATATATAAAATTGAAGTCTTTTGAAGAATTCTGTTCCACTTCCTATTGCAACTGATAAGGTGTTTGATGGTAGCCGGGTAGCTAAGGGACTCTTTTTTTTTTTCTTTTTTTTTGGTGCAGCAGCAGTTCCTCTGTATTAATATTTTATTCTTAAACTTGTACTGTTCGGTTCATCTCTTGCGGAAACTGGAGCAAAGGTGTTCAAATGGTTGCTATTCATTCTTTAAAATAAATGAATAATTTCTATAGCTTCTCTCTTGGGACTGATGTACTGATAAGAAGCTGAAAGCGATTTGCAGTTATTTGCTGCAGTCAAAGGTTGTACACGATTGGTTTCTGTCCCGTTAGTGAAAAGCAAAGACAGTAAAAAGCATTTTATTTTTTATGTGCGTTCATAGCTTAACATTTGTTAGGGAGATGGTAGCAAAGATCTCTGAGAATGCTGATCGCTGTAATGTTTATTCACCTGCTGTAGTGATGTGGTGACACCTGAATGTTTGCTAAGATTTTAACAAATTGATTTCTGCATATGTGAGAGAGAGAACAATCAGAATCTATCAAGTTATGAAAAACAATAGGTAAAATGCTTTTTTTGCTTTCTATTGTGGCTTTATTTCTAAAGGAACTTTGCTAAGCAAGCCTGATGCCTGTTGTGAATTGCTGCGTTGAGGACACTGGTCTGACAGTGCTGAACTATCCTACTAATGTGTAAGGCAGAGAGAGGAGTGTGCCTCACTTTTAATGTATGCAGGGCCTCATCAGCTTAAAGAATATGATTTCATACAATTCAGGAACTTACAGGCTTAAGCAGCAATTGAGGCATCATAGCATTTTGTGGAACAAGAGGTATAAAATATGAAGTTTTAACAGTTTTTTTTAACAGTCCTTAACAATTATTTAATTTCTAATGGAAATGACTTTTTCTTCTAATAAGCAACTTTGCACCTTCCAGAGTAACTTCTTCCCCCGCCCCAGCATTGTACACTGCCATAACTGAGTTTTTCCTGCTGGTGACTACAGAAGGTACTTAAATTGGTTCCTAAAATGGGAGATAAAGAAGCTGAACTGTAATTCTACTAGTCTTTATCATAGTATCTCTTTGTTCAAATCTGTAGGATACTTGTATAAAGAGACATATTAAAGTCTAAAAGAATTACAGTAATATGCAAAACTATTCAGTTGTAGAAGCCTTTCCATAAAATAATCAGTGCCTTTTTAAGTTGTTTGCTGCCTTCTTTCACAATAGTGAAGTTTATTTAAAGTAATTTCAAGTCTTGCTTTTAACTAATGATTGTGCAGAGGGGATAAGTTTGTTAAAGATTTTCGGGG